TCTGGTGGGAAGAAAAACTTCCACAAGCAATCCCAAAAAAAGAAGAATAAAAAAAAAAAAGAAAATAAAAAGCCGTCCCTTGTAATTAGTGTTAATTTGGAACAGGGCACTGCGAGCCGTCAGCAAGCTTCAAAGGCCGTGAGGAAGCCTCAAATTCCAACACCCTAATTAACCAAAGAGCAACATGAAAAGACAAGGCAGCGCACACAGGGCTGCCAAGGACACTTCAAACGGGAGCGCGCCCGCGGCCGGCCGGCCCGGGAGCGGGGCGAGACGCCCCGCGCCGCACGCAGCCCCCCGGCCGGGGAGGAGGCTGCGGGGGCACCCCAATACCAACAATGAGCACGTTAATGAGGAACTGTATGTAAATTCTTCCTTCTTGTTGTTGTTGTGTTGGTTTTTTGTTGTCTTTTTTTTTTATTCCAATTAACAAAGGGAGCCCTTGGCTTTTTCATGCAAAGGGCTCTCTGGTTCCAATCAGGCGTCCGGTCCTGCTTACTAACAGCCTGCTCTGCTCCAAACACGGCAGGGTTTGGCTTCACTGCCCTGGACCCCCAGCTCCCTCCAAAATCCAACAGCAGGGCTTGGGGGCAGGGCAGTCCCCCGAGGCAGGAGCATCTTCGCTGGGGCTCACATTGCTCCTCGGTACCACTGCCTGGGGGTTTCACGCTGGGGGGGCTGTGGGTGCAGGCTAAGAGCAGCTCTGGCTGGATGCTGGATTCGGACCCTACACCCACTTGCACTCCAAACACCTGAGGTGCAGAGCAGGCTCCTGCCGTGCCAAACCAGGGAGAGCGGATGCTAAGGATGGGACAGGGTCCCTGGCAGTGAGGGTGGCTGCGTGTGCAGCTGCCTCCCATCCACGGGCCATGCCGGGGGAGCCCTCTCCGTAATTACAGTATCCACCACAAAATTACAGAGCAGGGCTGGAGCCTCCCTGCCCCCTTCCCGGCCACCCTGCCTGAGCCATTTCCCTGCCGCTGCACCCCAAACCCTCCTGGCACAGGACCCACGGCCACAGCTCACCCTCATAGTGGGACCAACTTGTGCCCTCAGCTGCTCCAGCCAAGACAGAGCCTCAGCCCCTGTGCTGTCCTCCTGCCCTGTCTGATCCCTGCTCATTCCACATCTCCCCAGGGGTAGCCAGAACCCCCCAGACGCATCTCAGAGAGTTTGGGTGAACCCATGCCAGGTCCCGCTGCCCACAGTGCAGTTGCAAAGCCCTGCCAGCCCGGGGCTGGCCCCGTGCAGCCACCTCGCCAATTGTGACAGCAAGGAGACCTCCCACCATGCTTTCCCAGGGCAGGAGGTGAACAAACCCCGAGCACCAACGCTGTCTCCAAGCACCCAAGGGTGGGGGCAGCAGGCTGGGTGTGCCAGGGCAGCGTGTCTGGGTGGCAAGGGGAGGGCAGTGGGTCTGGGCAGGCTGCCAGCCCCACACTGAGGCCTCCCTTCCTGGCAAGGCTGAAGGTGAGGGAGGGATGTGGGAGGTGCTCGGGACCACAGAGAGGAACCAGTGCCTCCCCAGGAAACACACTGCTGCAAAGACCACTCTGTCCCATCAGGCTGGGTTGAGGTCATGGTCAACAGCACTGCCACCACAGTGCAGACGGCACCCAGGCACTGCCAGTGTTGTCACCACTTGAGTCTTGAGTGACTTGGGTGGGACAGGGGATGACAGGGAGGGAACACTCCTGGGTACACAGTCTCGCTTGGCCCCCAAAATCAGGCCCTGTCTCGCTTGTTGTAATGGGGCTACGGGATGTGGCAACCAATGTTGAGCTGCAGATTCAGCTGGTGCACAGGGGATGCTACAGCCCTGACCCCAGCTCCAGCTGGGCCCATAGCAAGGGACTTGATGAGCAGCGCCCTTTCTACAGCACGACGTCCCAACGCTAGGGTTGGAAACCACCACAAAGACACAGCTGGGAGTGGGGCAAGGTCAGGCTGAGATCCCCTGGGAAAAGCCATCCCCATGGGGAACCCCCTTTGCAGCACCCCCCTGCTGCAAGAGGCACCCACGGGGGCAAATGGGAACCGGGCGCATCCCGCTGGCAGAGCTGCCTGGCCTGGGTGACCTGGGTGATCGGAGCCCCAGGGGCTTCAGAGGGATGCCAGAACCATCCTGCAGCTCCAGCGCTATCCCGCATCCCGGTGGGAGGGGGTCCCGAGGCACCGCCCCAAGCATCCCTCGGCTGCAGCTTCCCCGTGCTGAGCGGCGTGCAAGCCGGAGGCCACCTTCAAAGTGTTGTGGGGCGGATTAGCTGGATTAGGGAGGCAGTGAAAGGACCCATGCTGCTCCGGAGGAAGTCTCGCCCAGGGCACACTGAAAGAGCCATTTTTACCTGTCCCGGCCGCTACCGCCAGCCTCGCCAAAAGCCCGGCGGCCCCATCCTGTCAAAACACGTCCTGCCGGCCCCATTCACCCCGCGGCCGTGCGGGAAGGGGGGCAGCTGCCTGGCAGATGGGTGCCCCCAGCAGCACGAAGGGACGGACGAGGGCTCGGCGCTGCCCCAGCACCTCCAACCAAGCCCAGCCCCACTGAAGGGGCTCCCAGCTAAGCCAAGAGGGGCGGCAGAAGACGGGGATGCCTTCAAAAAGCCAGCGGCGGAGGGGCTGAAAGGGCCCGTTTGGGGCCAGCTCCCCAGCCGCCGGCCCCGGCCGAACTCTTTTGTTTAACGGCGAAGCTAAATTAATGTCTTTATTACCCCAAATCGGGGGGCGGCGGTTCCCAGCACAGGGAGGGGGGCAGCCGGGAGCTCGCACCGCCCCGGCCAGCGCCGAGGGGACAGCGCGACCCCCGAAAAAGAGAGGGGGGAAAAAAAGGGGAGGGGGGGGAGAAGAGAGGGGATTCAGTTGGGAACTATTCACCGCTAAGACTCCTGTCAGCATTGACATAAATTTCCACTGGTGTTGGCATTTAGGCATTTGCCATTTCCATATGTATAGGGCTGCCTGTACTAATTATGCTAATCACCCCCTCTGTTGGCTGCTGTGAAAAATGGCCACATTAGGCACTCCACTGCTTGCTAATGTCACTTAATGTGTGGTTGAAACATACATTCATCCCCCTCTGAATGGTGAAATTTTTCCACATTGCTGGCTTCATTCAGGCAAGAAATGAATTTTTTGAACTCAGACCACTTTTCCAGGCCCGAGGGAGAGGCAGATAATAAAACCCTCTTCTTGGGCCCTGGCGCTGCCCCCTCCCAGCCGCCAAATAACATTTAAAACACACAAAAAAAAGAGCCCGTTCCCTAAGTCCGTAGATATGTCCAAGTTAAAAAAACCACAACATATATATAAGAAAAAAAACTGTATAGGAAATAAAAAAATATATAAGTTGAAAAGGAAAGCAAAATGGATAGGGGCAGATAAGCCACAGCCATCTGTAAAGTCTTCCAGTCTCTTTAGGTTAATTAGCAAAATTTTCCAGCCCAAAAAAGCTGACCAAGCTGTCAAGGAAGGGAAAAGGAAGAGCAAGAGGTTTTGCGCTCAGCTCCCAAAGATAAATAAATAAAGGTGAACTGCCTGGACCCCATCTTCTGGTAGGTGGGGGGCTACTGGGTGAGCCTCCTTCCCCCCCCTCCCCTCTTGAGAAGAAAGCTTCTTTCTGAGCCAGAGGAGACTTTAGAGCGGAGGGGAGAGCCAGGCAGACAGGCTTTTGGGATAACAGGGACCTCCTCACTTCATAGCAGCAACACCCCAGCTGCTCCTCATTCCTCCAAGCTCCCGAGGATGGGGGCACAGTGTCCCCACAGATACCCAAACCCTGCAAACAAAGAGGACAGCAGGGTACTGAAGGAAAGATCCCACCAGAGTCCCCAGGCACCCTGGGCTGTCCCCTTCCTTCCTGCAGAGCAATACCTGCACCACCACACCCCAAGAGAAATGGGGACCCTCTTCCCCAGGACACTCATCTGGAGACAGAGCAGGGACACGGCAGTCCAGGAGCCACCCCATGGGAGTGAAGCCAGTTCTGGCCAGATCCCAGCAGGCATCTTGCTGCCCCAGACATGGGGACAAACTGCTATTAGAGCCCCCCAACCTGTCAGCACCAGCCACACACAGCCCCCCAGATTCACCCGCTCCTTTCTCAGCCCCTGCACAAACATCCCACCCCACAAACCCACCCACCCGGCAAGGAGACCACCCACCTCTCTCTGTGCCCACCCAGGAACGCTTGTGGCATCCCTCTCGCCCCCACTGCTGCTGCCCCACACCCCTCCACGGGACCCACCCTGCACAGTGGGGACAGGGGCTGGGAAGAGAGGCCACACAGACAGTGCTGAGGGCGTTCAGTCCTGTCCTTGGCTTCCTGTTGGGGCTTTCCCATTGCCTGTGCCCCTTTCCCTGCAAACAGACTCAGCCGGCACCTCCCCTCCCTCCTGGCCTGCCGTGGGGGAGCTCCAGGCTGCATCCCAGCCCTGTCCTGGGTACCGAGGAACTGATGCCCTGTGCCAAGAACTGCTGCAGAGGTCAAGGAAGGACAGAAGCCACTGCCAAGAGGGTTGGGGGTATCTCAGCTTTGTGCCCCAAGATGAGAACAAGAGAGCAAATTCCCCGAACCCCCATAAGATATGTCCTATTTCATCCCACCAGCATGTTCGGGGTGTCCATGACCCCTCCAGGAAAGGGACAGGGTCTTCTCCAGGGAGACTCAGCAGCTCTTTGAGAGCGCGACGGCTGTGCGGGGCGCTTGGCTGTTCCGGTTAGGAATTAACCCGGCCTTCCTTTGAACCAGCCCTCAGCGCTATAAATCAGGCAGACCTATTCACCACCCAGGGCTCTGCCTGCCTAGAGCTCGCCTCCCCGGCCCCTTGGCCCTAAAGACACCCTGGGAGAGCCAGGAACAGCTGCCAGGTGTCTAGAGGTAACTCAACACTCACTGCTAGCCGGGATTGCAAAGCCTCCGAGTGGCTAATTGCTTTGGAGGAGCCTAATTGAACATTTCCACAGTTGAGTCCAATTTATGTGGTGACACAGCCTCCTTCCATCTCCCAAACAGGGATACAGGTCAGGCATAACCCCAGAACACTGTAAAAATCCCTCAGCCAGCCCGCTGGTGTAAGGACATTCCCAGAATTGGGACAGGGGACCTTCTGTTTTCCCACTAGTGGCCAGGGTCACAGCTGAGGCTCAGGAGGACATACCATCAACATGGCCTGAATGCTGACCCCAGTCATGGGGCCAAAACAGGGCTGCCCACCCTATTCCTCTGTTTGGAAAGGAGGGGGATGGCATAGCAGCATCATGCTCCCATGGGAAGCGGGTCCCTTCCCTCTCCTGCTCATCAGGACCCCAGCTCCCAGAGAGCTGAGCTCAGCCTGCAGTGGGGACTGCCTGGCACAGGGTCACACTCCGCTCCTGCAGCACTGGGACCTCACCTGGGTGGGGTGGCAGGTTGGAGCACCACCACCCACATCCCTCAGCCTGGCTAGGCAGAGGCAGGTGATCGGGTACAGTCACCAGAGGCTTCCTGGAACCTTAAACCACCCTGCTCCCGAGCTGGGACCCACTGGGCTAGGACAACGGGCCTGGGATTCCCTGCACACACACCCTGCCCCTTAGACACCCTACAGCACTGCCTCAGGCAGGGCTCCCACAAACATCTCCTCACAGACCCAGAGGAGGCAGGAGTTCAGGTGCCCAGCACCCTGGGGGTCCCAAACACTTGGGACCAAGCTGATGGGATACCACCTCTGCCAGCCAAGGAGCAAGAACTGCGCTGCATCAGCCTGCCACAGTGGTACCAGGCTCACTGCAGAGGACACACACTCCAACCCTGCCACACATGTGGGAATGTGAGAAAGCAGCAGCTGAGAAAAACCCCCAAGCAACTTCAAGTGCTCTGGATGCAACCACAGAGTCTGGGCAATTGTGTTCCAGTCTTCAGGGGCACCCCAGGCCCTCCTGTCCCCTGATAATGCCCATCCCCACACCAGCAGGATGGGGTGCAGTGATTGGGGCTGGCCATATGTGGGGGATGCTTTGATCTCACTAGAAAATGCAGAAGCTGAGGCTGGCGGTGAGGCAGGGTCCTACAGATGGTTATGGGGAAGGGAGGCAGCCCCACACCTGATACACGAGACTGAAAGTGTCACCGCAAACCTTCCTTCCACATCCTGACCCACACATGCCCCCATGGGACTAAAGCCATCTCAGACACATCGTCATTGGTGGTCGCAGGTTGTGCCAACGCCTGAGGACGCTGGGGCTGTGCCACCCAGGAGCAGGGCACGGAGGGGTCTGTCCCAAGTGCACACTCCCGGGGGAAGAGCCCTCCCAGGAAGGACAAGGGGGGGCTCCAAGCAGCACCCTTGACAAGGCACACCGTCCTCAACCAGGCACCACAGATCCAGAGCGGTGCAAAACCCAGTGCACCCCTTGCCCAGGAAGGGGCAGGACACCCCATGTCAGCGGTGTTTCACCGCAGAGTAAAAAAACCATAAAATTAAATCCAACTTCTGACACTGAAGAAGATGGGAAACCATGAGAAAGAGAAGGTTCCTGAGAGAGGCCCCCGGCGCCCACATTACAGCCAGACCGCAGTGTGGGGGAAATCCCCCAAGAGCAGCCGCAGTTGCTCCTGGCTGTGCCCGTGCGAGCAGGGAAGCACAGTGGGGCACAGGAAAAGCCGGGTTTCTGGGCGCTTCCAGCCGTCCCCAGGCTTGGCCCCTTCCCCATCCCGCTCTCCACCCTGATGTGCCGCAAGTCCCATTCCCCTTAGCAGGAACAACCACAGCCACTTTCCTGGCCACAGTTCTACAAAACGCTGACTCCTTGCTACCCCAAAAGCACAATAAAAATTCAATGGAGCCGGAGCCACGACCCAGAGTGAGGGAACCACCGAGGGAGCACGTCCCTCCTTCAGCAGCCACAGCTCAGGCGCTGGCCGGACCGGGAGGTATCACTGGATTTCTCTGCTACGTGTTGCAGTGGAAGGGGGTGATGGAGCCGAGATCTGGGGAGGGGGGACAAACATCCCTGGGGAGCGGGGAGCAGGTGGGAGAGCCGGGCATTCCTGGGCAGGGGTCCGTGCGTGCATCTGTGTGCAAGCAGCCAGGGAGCGCAGAGCTCTTTTTTTTTTAAATTAAAAAAAAAAAAAAAAAAAAAAAAAGGGGGTGGGAGAGCAAAGTTGCTTCTATTGTTGAACCAAATCCAAGAGTAGCTGAGGACCACACAGGGAGCGGGGCGTGGGGGAGGAGGCAGCGCTCCCGCACAAAGATGGCTGACACCCCTCCGCTGAGCAACATCTGCCCCTGCACAGCACCCCGCGGGGACCCCCGCCCGGGGGATCCCCCCGCCGCGCCCGGCAGCACGGACGGGGGCGCGATTCGGGGGGCTGCCCCCCCGGGGGCCCCCCAAAGTCGAAGCGAAGCGCAAGAAAAGCAAATCCCAGACCCGTGAAGCACGGCTGCAGGGATCGGGGAGAGAAAATCCACGCTGGAGTTATTAATAACAAAGGAGGGGGATCAGCCGCTTCCACTCGGAAACAGGGATTTGCTCCCGCCTGACCCTGCCCGCGCTCCCGTTCCCCCCGGGCCGGGGTCCCGGGCCGGGACTGGCGGCTCCGCGGCGCCGGCTCTGCCCGGTGCGGGGCTGCGGCCGGTCCCGGGGGCTCTTCCCAGCAGGAAGGGGGTGTCCAGCACCCTCTCCGTCGCACGTGTCAGCACCTTCGCGCAGGGACCCCCGTAGGGACACGCGTGGGGGTCCCTCTTCAACCCAGCACCACGCACCCGCGCAAGGCGCAGCCCGAGCGGCCCCGCTGACGGGACCCCGGCCCGTGGGCACCCACGGCCCCGTCCTCCGCGGCCCCGCTGACGGGACGCCCGGCGGCGGCATCCTCATCCTCCTCGTCCCGCCCCGCTCCCGCGCTGTCACCTGCCTCCCGGCCGGCCCCGCACTCCGCGCCGCGCGTGGGAGACAAAGCCGCGGCCGGGAGCGGGACCGGGACCGTTCCCACGGGCGGCCGAGCCCGCTGGGCCGCGCTTACCTTCCACCCAGAGGTGCTCGATGTCGGTCTCGATGGAGGCCACCCGTAGTCCCACGGCCAGCGCCCCGAACACCAGCAGCCCCACGAAGAGCACCTTCCCGCAGTGCCGCTGGATCCGGCAACCCAGGGCGAAGAGCAGCGCCTGAAAGCGGGCCCGCAACCACAGCGGGGTCCTCTGGCCCACGGCCGTGCCCTGCGGAGAGGGCGAGGACTGGGTCAGCCCGGGAGAGGAGAGGGGAGAGCCCCTGCCTGGGGAAGGGGACCCGCAGCCGGGGCGGGATGCCCACGGCCGCCGCACTCGGCTTCGGAGCGGGACCGCGAGCGCCGGAGGTTCCCCGAGCCGGGGGACACGGGGGTCTCCGCACCCGCCCGGCCCGCCCCGGGCTCCCCCGCGCCCCCCGAACTCCCCTGCCCGGCCCGCAGCCCCCGCGATGCTCGCCCCTCACTCACCTCGGGCAGCGGCTTGCGGCGGGCGGCGCGGAGCGGCGGCGGCGCGGCGCGGGGGGGCTCGGCCGGCATGGCGGGGCGGCTGGCGGGGCTGGGCACCCCCCGTTATGTGGGGCCGAGCGCGGCGGCGGCCCCCATGCGCGCGGCGGGGCCGTGCCGGTGCCGGTGCCGGTGCCGGTGCGGATGGAGGGCTGTGTGTGCGCCGCCGGCCGCCCGCCGCGCCTCTAAAGGGGAGGCGGGGGCGGGGGGCGCCGGGGCCGCGCCGCCGCCGCCGCTCCCATTGGCCGCCGCCGCCGCGGCAGCGCCCATCGCCGCTGCTAAGCAACGGCGCGCCCGCCGCCGGCGGCCACACACCGCGCTCCCCTCCGCGCCGCCCCGCGCCGCACCGCACCGGCCCCGCCGCGGGGGGGAGCGCGGCGGCGGCGGCACCGGGGCACCGGCGCGGCCCGCGCCCGGGGCTGCCCCGCGCCTCCGGCACGGCAGCCCCACACAGACAGCCCCGGGGATGGGCATCCATCCCCCCTGTGCGCGTCCCCCGGGGTGGGTGCGCAGCCCTCCCACCCCCCACGCCGTAGCTGTACCCCCGAGGATGGGCACCCGACAAAGCAAAGCGTTCCCTACATCCTTCTTCCACAGCTACCCCTCAAAGGGTGGGCAGCCCCCTGGAGATGCCCCAAGGGATGGCATGGTTCACATATAGCCATATCAAGGGTAGTCAGTGCTCTCCCAGAGTCTGTACATCTCTCTAACAACCATCCCAAGGGATGGGCATCTCTTCTTCAAGGGCCAGGTGTTCTCCCCCAAAGGACCAGGCATCCCAATTAATACCTTTTCCCAAGAAAGTTCATCCCCCCTTCGCCTCCCCACAAAAGCAGGGTGTCCACCCACCTCCAGTACCACCTACTCTCCCGAAAGGCCAGATATTCCCCCAGGCCATAGCTGGCAGCAGGAAGACACTCCATTCTTCGGGTGTACCCACAAGTGCTGCCCCATCCCCTGCCATGGGGAGCCAAGCCCAATACCCCAGAGGTGGAGGCCAGAGGCACAAAAACCCCATCCATGGGGCACAAGAAGTGCAAAAGAGCCAGAGATAAATGGCACCCATAATTTGTGGGGTGGTTAGGATTGTTTCTCTGCTCATTTCACTCCCTTCTCAGCTCTTTATTGGATAGATCTGCCTTTGCTCCCACCAGGAAAGCTGCCCTAAGGAGCTGCTGAGGGCATCCAGGAAGGTTAGTAAACCAACATGGATCAGCACCCAAGCTATGTCCAATCCCTCCATCACTACTTTGGAGCAATGCTGAAGATGCTCAACCTGGTGTTTTCCTCACCAAAAACGGAGGACACCCCAATAAATAAACTGAGTGCCTGGGGCAGTTTTTCCATGCGCCCCAGTCACAGCCCCCACCAGCCCAGTCTGCTGCTGCCAAGCTCTCCTGGGCCCTAGCAGCACGTAAAGGGTTTCTCCCTCGTCCAGCGATAGGCCTGTAGCATCTGGCGTGTCCCCAAATACAGAAGGGAAACGGCTATTCAGCACTTCTGCAGCCTGATTGCTATTAACAGCTCCACCATTCCCTTTCCCGGTGGACCCACACTACTGCTGGGCAGCTGCAGCTTTTTATCAACTTAATATTTAAAGTGTAAGTTGTCGTCCTCCTTTCCAGCATGGATGGCTCCCCCTCCCCATGTTCTCCATCAGCTCCCTATCTGTCATCATTGGTTTCCACCTGGGGCTCTCCCACCCTTGCCCTACACCCTGGGAAATGTCATCAATGTCCTTGGAAAAGTCATGGAATGGCTCATGGAGACCCGCTCAGTGTCTGCCAGGGCCTGGGGGTGACCTGGCTCTGACCATCCCAGGGTATCAAGGGTTTTCCTAGGACATGGGCACCCAGTGCTGCAGGACTGGCTTCCATGACCCCCATCCTGGCTCACACACACTGGCACCAGGCTGCTGTGCCTCAGGAGCACCATGCAGGACGGGATCACCCCTGCCATCCCTGCCTGCTCCACACCATGCACCCCTGTCCACTGCCCTCCCACTGCCACTGTGGTCCCCAGGGACCAGCTGTCCCTCAGGACCTGTGTGCCCCAGCAGCACTGTCACAGCGCGGTGACTTGCACCCCAGCAAGAGGTCATAGGGCTTGGCAGACGGGCAGCTGGTTTGGGAATCCCAAGATTTGCAGCAGGAGTGACAGGGCCAGATCCTGCCACGCCAATGAGGATTGAAAACCCAAGTGGAAAACGTCTGTGGGCAGGACAGGGCTCAGCCTGCCCTGCCCTGACGCCACAGAGATGAGCTTTGAGTCTCCCTGCAGGGCACGTACTTCTCCCGGAGCCACCCGAAAGGGGACGGGGAGCCCTGCAGGCCACCGGCCTTGGGGGAGCAGGATGGGGAGCAGGGGCTTGGCTCGCATGCAGGGAAACTTCTCCTGCCGCTTCTTGCTGACCGGCTGTTTTATATCAAGGCGGGAGGGGGGATTTGCTGTTCTAGATGGTATTTTAATGGGCAGGCAGGCAGCTGGAGCCTGGGAGAAGCCTGCTTTACATTGTTTGGGGTTGTAACAAATAAATTCAATTAAAGGCAAATGGCTCCGCGCAGCCCCCACCCTGCGCAGTGTCTCTGCGGCACTGGTGGCTGCGGGAGCCGCGGGTGCGAGGCGGGAGCCCCGCACAGGGGCTGCCCGGGGCTCTGCCCACCCTCGCCCCTCGGCCCTGCCGCAGGAGATGCCGGGGTGAGCTGGCAGGATGCGGTGGGAGCTGGGAAGCGCAGGGCACCGCACCCACAGAGTACCCACAGAGAGGATGGAGTGTCCGGGGAGTCCACCCTGTCCTCTGTCCCCACACTGCGCGTCCCACCCCGCTGAGCAAAGGAGATGTGAAAATCCCCGTGGCAGGAGCCCCGCCACAGCGAACACTCCTCAGGAAGGGCAGCCCGGGACAACAGCCGCGGCGGGCAGCAGCATCCTCCGGGCAAGCAGAGACTGGGCAGAGGCTGGGGCGTGGAACTGAGCTTTGCATGGCCACCATGCAGCCCCAGAGCACCATGGCCGGGGGGAGAAGCAGAGGGGACTTGGCAGGGACACGCCAGAGCCTCAGCACGCTGTAAACAGCCGCCGCCGCAGCAGCAACTCCTCTGCCGGGAGCCAGCGCCGGGCGTTAGTTAGCTGGAAACCAGATGGTGCTCTCCCAACCACCGGCACAGCCCGCTGGCCACGGCCCGCAGCCAGGCGCAGGCTCACAGGGACTGCACAGCACCCAGTACTGGGACCCCATTGAGGTGCACGGAGAGCTGGGGGCGCAGGGAAGCCCCCACAGATGGACAGGGAGTGTCAGTGTGTCCCCGGCCCCCGCTGCTCCCTCAGCAAGTACCGTGTATATCCCAAGGCATGATGTATCCCAAGGGATGGAGATGGGAGGCAGAATCCGCCAGAGGGGATTGGAGATAGGGTGTTAACATCCCTCAAAACGCCCATGCATTTCTATGTGCCACACCGTGCCTCAGTTTCCCTGTGCCTCCCTCCCAAACAGCAGGGAACAACCAACAGCTGGTCCACAGGTCAGACTCTACCTCATCCCCTCAGATAAGGATAAGATAGGGAAGAGATAAAGCCCCATCTCCGAGGCCAGGGAAAGCCTGAGCAGTTCCCCGGCACATGACACCTGGAGTAACTCTCCATGGGAAATACAACATGGAATACAGACAGCAAGTCTCCATCCCAGCACCATGAGCAGGACCTGGCACTCCAAGCTCTGCCCCACTCCCCAGTGGCTTTGGGAGCAGGTGCACCGAGGGGGCATAGTGGACCCATCCCAGCTCTGTGATTTTAGGGGGGTCTGCAGCAAGAAGACAAACAGCCGGGGCTGGGGAGGGGCTGGGGGGAAGGACGGCATCCCTGGTAGCCGTGGCGGGGGTCCTGTGGTGTTTACAGAGCTTAAAACCCGCCTAAGCCCCGCAAGGCCACGGCGCACAATAGTGTGTGGACGTGGTGACACCGGCCGTCCCCACACCACCTTGGAAGACAGAGAGCCCTGCCACCCACCGCCAGCACCAGGATTAATTATGATAATGTAGTTCTTTCCCCCTTTGTCACCCTAATGAATGGGCCCCTTTAGGATTTTAAGGCCTTTGTTTGGTGCCTCTTTACTGCGGTATTGTAGGATGGGGACTAGCAGGTGGCAGGTCCCCAAACAGCCCCTTTTGTCTCCTTTGGGGGCTGTTTTGTGGTGGGGTTGGGGAGGGGGGATGCAAGGATGCAGAAGTGGGGGTGTGCTGCAAGGAAGCTCCTGGACAGAACCGTAGCACCCGTGCCATCGCTGTGGGGCCATGGCACCCCACGCTGTGCATGGTGGCATTGGGGATTGCCGGCCCTGGCCGTGCCCCAGAGCCACCCGTGCCCTGGCCTGCTCGGTGGGCAGATGCAGGGAGCCACCGTCTGAGCCCCTGCCTTGATCTTTTACTGCCTGGGCAAATCAATTACCCAGCAGAAAAGTCTCTAAATCCCACCATAAAACCCGTTTAGCAGCCGCGGTGGCGCTCGCCAGGCCCTGGGCAAACCTCGCCCTGTGCCGGCATGGAGCTGGAGCGATTTTCCGCAGGGACAGTGGGCAACTGCTGCCGGGGAAGGTCAGGCTGCAGGCGCAGCTGCACAACATCTCCCCACTCCCAGGAGGCAGATGAGGGCTCCCCAGGAGTCCTGGCTGTGCTCAGACCCTTCCAAGCCCTCCACAGCTCCATGTCCTTCTGCACCAGCCTGTCCCCCTCCACATCCCCTGAGTGCAGGAGCAGCTGGGGTTTGACAGCACCGGGCACGGCACTGGGGACCAGGGGCAGACAGCTGAGGTGGCACAGAGGCACAGGGAGCAGGGATAAGGCAGGGCACAGAGACACCTGAATGGCAATGACCTGTGCCAGCGTGGATACATGGGCTTTGTGTCATGGCCATTGGCTGTGCTCATGGTGCCACCAGAGTTGTGATGATGGAGCCTTGCTTCCTCCTATGTAGACACACAGAAGCATCTTTAATACCAATGCCAGCACAGGGACGACACCAGCACAGGGCTGAGAGGC